GATTCCAGGCCCAGCGCTCTATCCATGGAGCCACCTTTAGTCAGAAGACATAGGTTCTAATCTTGGCTGTGTAAACTTTGGAAAGTCACTTTATAATGTTGATTCTCGAGTCCTTATCAAACTGGGAATAATGCTTACCTCACAGGTGGTTTTTTTTTTAGGATTGAATGAGATACTATATGTGAAACAATATTTTAAAATGTTATTATTTTAAAAAACATAGGATTGCAAACTGTTGAGGTTTTTTTTCCTAGTGCTTCAAATCAAAATTTAAAAATCTATTAAGAAGCTACTATGTGCAGAACAGCATGCTAGGTTCGAGGGAATGATAATGTTAAAAAAAAAGATGCAATTCAGGGCATCAGAAAGCTTACAGTCTAGTAGGGAGATGCAAAACATGCATAATTAATTGTGATACAAAATAGAACATGATAAATGCACTAGAGGAGTAGAAGCAAAGTGTTATGTGAAAAGGGACAGTTTTATTTCAACTGTGTGGATCTGGGAGTGAAGACTTTCTGGCAAAGGTGGCATCTGAAGTAGATTTTGGAAAATGAGTAGGGCTTCAATAGAAGATGAGGAAGACATTCCAGATAGAAAGGAAAGAAACAACAAAATCATGGAGGTTGGGAAGTACACAACATCTATGGTCAATTGTGAGTAGTCCAATCAGGCTACGTTAAGGGGATTTATATTATTAGATAAGGCTTAACAGAATAGGTTGGTACCAATTTGTTAAGGTCCTTGAATGCCATGTAATGAGTTAGTACTTGATTCAGCAGGCAATCTCTGGACTGACTTGAGACTGCCATAGGGGTTTATCTTCTAGGGAATTTTCAATAAGCTTTAAGTTATTAATCTCTCTCTGTTTACCACTCCCTCGTAAATCAAATTCAAACTGGTGAATGAATACCATCACAGAGTGACTGGAAAGGTCTATGATCTCCTGTGGGAGAAATCATTATTCTGCTGCCTCCCACATACCTCTTGCTAAAGCCTGAATGGTCTCCTGCTTTCCTCCAACTGACCAGTTTCCCCAACCTCTATCCAACACACTAGTACTGATTATGAGAAAACAATTAGTGGCCTTTAATTTCTTTTATTTAAGGGGAATTGACCATGCAATAATGAAGGGACAGTAAAATGATGGAGGGGCACACTTCATTGGCTATTTAACAGTGGTCACTGCCAGGCACACCTGACTGCAAAGAATAATGGATTTTCTGCTTAGCCACTTCAGTGGTTCCTTATCACCTCCAGCATCAAATACAGAATCCTCTGTTCAGTGTTAAAAGCCCTTCATAACCTATCTCTCTCTTCCCCACCTTTCCCCAAACTGGCCTCCTGGCTGCTTCAGGAATAAGACATTCCATCTTTCTGCGTAGGCATTTTCTCTTGATTGTACTTCAAGCCTGGAATTCTCTCACTTCTCCTGTTTTCCTTCCACCTTCCTTCAGGTCCCACCTAAAAGCCCATCTTTTAGAGGGAGCCTTTACCAATCCTTCTTAATTCTTCTTAAACCCTTAATTCTATTCTTGTGCTTGTCCTTGTTGATTATTTCCTATATATTCTGTATATAGCTAGTTTATATATTTTTGTTTGCTTTTTTGTCTCTTCCACCAGATTGTAAGCCCCTTGAGGACAGAGATTGTCTTTTGCCTTTTTGCTTTTTTTTTTTTGGTATCCCCACAACTTAGCATTGTTCCTGGTTGCTTAATAAACCCTTATTGACTGCTTATTGATTGATTCCCCCAAGAGGAAATACGGAGAAATAGGCCTCAGAGGAATTGCCTAGTTAGAGGGCAGCGTCTTTCCCCAACTTTAACCAACAGGAATGTACTATCTTTGAAGGGTGGCAGGATTAGTTAAAAACCACCATTTTTAATCAACAGACAAAACACCCTCTTTGACTTGAGAAGCTGCATTCAAGTTTGTCATAGTCTCTCTGAAGAAAAAGGGGCAAAATGCCTGCATATTTGGCATCTCACTTGGGGCAAAGGGAAGGAAATCAGCATTTATATAATGCCATGAGTCTAGTGCTTTTAAAAAATATCTTATTTGATCCTCACAACAATCCTTTGAGGTAGGTGCTGTTATCTCTTATTTTATAGATAAGGAAATTAAGGCAAGCAGAGGCTAAATGACTTCACCAGGGTCATACAGTAGAGCATCAGAGGCTGCATTTGAACTCAGGTCTTCCTGACTCCAGGTCCACTCCCCCTAACCACTGTGCCACCAAGAGGAAGAATATCACATGACTTTGAACTGTTTCATCATTTTTATCTATCCAGTGTCTTCCTCTTCAAATTCTCCACAAAACCCTTTCCAGCAGTACCAATCCCAATATATCACTGATGGTGTTTTCATAGATGAGGACACTGAGTCACCAAAAGGCTGTGTCTTCCTAAGAGTCTCACTATGTATCTGAGCAGAAATGGGGAGAGGACGTAGTTCTTTTAATTCCCAGAGGTGGACTCTTTGCACAATTGAGAAGCATCGTTTTCTTTCTGGATAGAGTAGGTAACTTTGAAGTCAGAAACCTGGATTATGGGAAATCATGAAGCTTTTTTCCTGATCTGTAAAATGTGCACAAATATCTATTATTTGTATTGTCCATTTCACAGAGGCATGAGGAAAGCTCTTTGTAAACCTTAAAGCATTGTAGAAATCTGAGTTACCATTAGAGCCCAATATCTTGACATTAGTATATTTATTTTGTTCTTGCTCTTAACTGTCTTCCCATGTATAGATTTTCTCTTTTTTTTCTTTTCATTATGGATGCTTACTACTGTTACATCACATTCATTTCCAAACGTATGCCTCCCTGCTCTCCTACACAGCAAGGCATCCCTCTTAACAGATTTTTAAAGAGGGAAAGAAAAAAAAAACAGCTCAGCAAAACCAATACGTTAACAGTGTTTGACAGTAGAGGCCATATTCAACATCCACAGTTAACTTAACCCTGCACTGAAACAGAGGAAGACACATTTTCTCAACTGTCTGAAGGGCCCAGCTTGGTTAATATAATTATACAATGTTTAGTTTCCTATATTTTGCTCTTTCTTCCTAAGTTGTTGTAGTCATTGTGTACACTGTTTTGCTGGTCTTCCTTACTTCACTATGCATCACTTTTTATGAATGAGTTTTTCCATGTTTCTCAGAATTCTTTATACAGTATTTTGAATTCTTTTGGTTAGCCATTCTCTAAACAAGGGTATCTCTCTACTTTAAAAGCAGTAGGATGTCATAGAGTCCTGGCTAGAGTTGCAATAAACCAGTGTTCACAATCCATCTCTGATATTCACTAGTTGTGTGACCCTGTGCAAGCCAATTAATCTCTGGGAACATCAATTTCATCTTCAGTAAAATGGGGGTAATAACAGCACTTATTTTATATTGTTGTCATGAGGATCAAATGAGAAAATATGTGCAAATCTTAAGGTGCTTTATAAAGGTTAGCTGTTCTTTGCTAAAATGAAAAATGCTGCCATAAACATTTAGGTGTGTTTGGAAACTTTCTGCCTTTAACAGTCTTGGAGGTACACGTTCAACTGTTAGAGCTCTAGGTCAAAGGTATGAATATCTAAAATTTTAAAAACATACTTTCAATTTGTTTCCAGAATGATTGCCCCAGTTCGCAGCTTCACTTGGTAGTGTATTGTACTAATGTGTCAGGCCCAGCTTTTCATAATGTGTTTCTGAGTTTGTATTTTCAGCAGATGAGTGTCTGGTTCTGTGTCAGAGTCCATGTGCTCTTGGCTTTTGAATACCTCTCTTCTGCCTGTTTCTGTTCTGTTTAGACCTAAACTTGGAAGCATCTTCCAACCACTTGACTATGCCCATGATCCAACAGGTTCTTCTCAGGCAAAGAGGTCCAGGTGGCCAAGTTGGACAGGAGTTGCATACGAGCCCCTGGGTTCCGTGTCGGGGACATAACACTAAATCCACGGTACGATCTACAGCTCAGGGAGCCCTCAAAGCGTTCTTCTCATTGGCCTGGGGCACGTTTGGCAGGTTACTGCTCTGACCACAGCAACAATCCACCCCTTCATTTTCTCTGGGCCAGCCCGCAGCAACCACCCATAGTGTGGTCTCAACGAGGCCTGGAGGGGCCACGGATGGGAGCGGCGAACACAAGGGCCACTGGCCCTCTGCGATCGCAGGGCACGTTCTGCAGACGCCTCAGCTGCAGCGGGCAGAGGCCCTGGGGACAGAAAATCGCGGCCCAAGGGACAGAAATCCAGCCAGGGCCAGAGGAGGCGGGGCATGGGCTGAAGCTGCTGGGGGGGGGAGGTGTGCGAGAGAGAGAACAGGGAGGGGGAAATGGGGGAGACAGAGAAAAGGGATTATTTTTTTTATAGGTGAAGGAGGAACAGGCCGGGAGAGATAGAACGGGAAGGGTCTTCCAGAAGGGTTGGGGAAAGGGGGAATTCCAGGGGGAGGGGAAGAGAGGGAGGGGCGAGGGCTATTCCCGGCAGGGGAAGAGGTGGTAGAGAGGGAGGGGCGGGGGTGCACTCTGCACACACACACCCCCGCCCCGTTTTTGTTTCTCACCCACCCCGGGGTGGGAGCTGTCCACGAGGCCGGCAAGATCCCGCCCCGCCCCGCCCCCTCCTCGCACACGGGGTCCGGCCCCCCGCCCGCCTCTTTGTATCAAACATCCGGGTTTCCCCGCGGGCTCCACTTTGCCTTCGCGGCTCAGGAGCCATTTTGGACTCAGTTCAGCTCCCCCCCCCCCGTTCCCGCCCCTCCCCCCTCCCCGCTCTTCCCCCAGTCCTTTCATGGCCACTCCGGAGCTGGAGCTTGCACCGGCCTCTCCTCGTCGTCGTCTCGCTGTCCGCAGCCGCCGCCGCCGCCTCCTCCTCGTCCCTGCTTCCCGACCCCACCACCCGCTCCCCCGGCGCCCCCAGCTCCGCCGCGCTATGCCTGCGCCCGGCGCGCCGCAGCCCCCTCCGCCGCAGCCCGTGCCTCCCCGCTCCGCCGCCGCCCCCCAGCCCAGCTGCCGCCCCCCGGCCGTCACCGCCGTCTCGCCCCACAGCCCGGGCCGCAGCCGAAGCCTCATCCACCTCCTGCACGTTGTGCGCGCTCCGCAGCTGCCCTGAGCCCCCAGTCTGAGCCCCGCAAACTTTGGGGTCTGGGTGTGCACCCCGCGGCCCCAGCCCCTCTGCCCGCGGGGGCCCCGGACTCCCTCTGGACAAAGTCTCCCGGCGCGCGCGGGGAGGAGGGGAGGAGCAGCAGCAGCAGCAGCAGCAGGAGAAGCCGGAGCCTGAGCCGGAGCCTGAGCCGGAGCAGCAGCAGCAGCAGCAGCAGCAGCAGCGTGCCTTCGGTGGGGCCGGGGCTGGCCCTGCGCTTGCTTCACCCCCTCCCCTGGCCCAGCCAGCCGGCCCGCCGAAGTAAGGGAACCCGGCCACAAGCGCCACAGGGAGTGGAGCCGCTGGGTCGGAATTGACCGGAGCCCCTTCTTTGCCTGCACCCCGCAGGCTTCTTCCCGCCGCTTCCTTCTGAACTCCCTTTCTGGGGCTCCTTTCTGCCTCCTCCCTGCCGGCCCCCCGCGTGGCGCGCGGTGTTTTTGTCTTCGTGGAAGATGACGGCGCCTTGGGTCACTTTCGCCCTGCTTTGGGGATCGCTTTGCGCAGGTAAGTGTTTGCGAGGGCTTCTTGTGGAAGAGAAGCTAGAGCAGGCTCTAGCTCCGAGCTCTGCTCGAGACTTCATCATTCCCCCATCCCAAGACCCCCGAGGTCCGGTGACCTGGGATATGTTTCTTAAGTTTTCAGTTCCCGGGGGGCTGGGGGGCGGGGCGGGGTGTGTGTTCGCGTGTCCGCGAGGCCCGCGGCGTGCGAAACTCACTGCAATGTTTACCAACAAAGGAACTTCCCTGAAGCCTAGTCCAAGCACCTGTACCCTCTGTCCATTTCCACCCCCCCCACCTCGAGTGCCTCGGATTTGGGGTGAAACCACCAGGTCTCGGAGGGGACCAACGCTGTGGTGGCTTTTTCGCATTTTCTCCGCTGCAGCCAGGCATGGCTGGTAGAGGCTCGCGGGGGCCAGCTTTGCCGTGCGAGCTCATAGCCTTTCGGGCCCCTGTTGGGGAGGGGGCGGCCGCGTGACCTGAGCTCCAGCGGGGTTTGCGCTTCTTGGAGAGAATGCATTGTTGCTGGACAGCGTTCCAAGCTGCCCCCACTGAGGTCCGTTTGGCTAAGGGGCGCCTCCCCTAACCCTATCTTAAAGAAATGTGCATAGAACCCGAAAGTCTGGTTCGAGTGGTGAAAGTCTGTGGTGGGAGGGAGAGGTTTGAGGTGATTTGTTGCGGGATGAGCTAATTTAGAGTTGTAAAAACCAAACCCAGTCATGTTCTTTACCCTGGCACGTTAGAGAGTCTGAGGTTTTTGTTTTTTAGTCTCTCCAACTATTTGCTGATTTATTGGACTCTGTTGCTGCTTTTGGAACGGGTAAAGGGGCGGAGCGGAGTAATAGGCAAGTTAGCTTTAAACACCGGCAGAGGGAATGTCGAGATCGGGGACCCGTGGGGCTTTTTTAAATTGTACCTCCCTACCCGGGTTGGAAAAAGTGTTTGTCTTGGACTAAACGCGTGGTCGCTGCTGGAGCAGCAGCCTCAGCCCTGAGCACCGCGGGATTCGGAGATTGGGGGCTGGCCGGTTAGGTTGGAGGGGGGTGATTTTGAGCTGCGGGCCCCCGGAGCGTTCTGGCTAAGCTTTCGGGGTTCTCACCGGAGCGTTCAGCGCCCAGTACCCTTTTTAATTCCCTTCGGCCCTTTCTGGGAGCTCAGCCCGGCGGCAAGGTACTGCCCCGCCCCCTGGTAATCCCTTGGCCCCTTGGGGCCGGGGGTCGCTTTAGTGGTTAGGAAGGGGGTGGAAGAAGAGGAGGAGGAGGAGGAGGAGGAGGCTGGGCCCCAGTTCCCGGGGCTCGGAGCGCAGCTGTGCGCGGCCGTTGCGCGGGGCCGGCTCGTGTTTAAGACTCTGGGGGAGGGGAGGAGAGGGGCGGGGCAGGAGAGGGGGAGGGGAGAAAAGGGGAAAAATAACAAGTCTCCCCTTTCGGGGATTGGCGAACAATGCTGTGTGTGAGAGCAGGCTCACCAGCGCACACACACATATACACACAGATACACCACACCACACACCAACAACACTCACTCGGATTCTTCACTGTCCCTCCCTCTGGCCAGTACTTTGCGTTGAACTGCAATGTATGTTTGTACACGGTCTCAAAACACACACCCCTTCCCTCTCTCCTCCGCCCCCTCACCAAATGTGATTTCCCACGGTTGGAGGCCCAGTGTCGGGCTTGCACTGGATCGGGCCTTGTGGGTGCAGCTGAATTTGGATTGTTTATGCGGGAGAGGAGGCCGAACTTGAAGGGCTGCGTTCCCCAAGTAGAGGTCCTATACTCCTGCATGGATTTCTCTTGAGGCCTCCTCCTCCCTCCCCCCCGGCCCGGGAGTGAATTGTCCGGTTGCTCTTTAGATTGGAAGCAACATCTAGGGTCCAGTAGGACACCTGGAGCCATTTGGTTGTGGGCTGATGGTACTGTGATGTTTAGGAGAAGTAGAGGTGTTAAAGCTGACTTCCCTATTAGTCGAATTTAAAGGAAACCTCTTAACTTCCCCCTCTGCTCGTGGCCCGGAGGCGGAGCAGGGACACACCCCCGGCTGCGGGGTTTGGTTTGGGGAAAGCCAGGGCTCGGGTCTTTGTTCCGAGCCCGCATTAAACATGCTGTGTCGCCTCCTGAGCCCTGGCTGCAGCGGTTCCGTTGGGAGTATGGAGAAGTCGCATTTGTGGGGCAGAGACCCTGAGGCATTCCCACTCTGAGGGGTTTGTGGGTTCCATGAGCTGTTTGTGTAGAAATTGTGCTGAAGCTAAGGATGGAGTTAACCGAACTGGTCACTGGTTGTGTGAGTGGAGGTGGGGGTAGGGATCAGGGGGAGGGGTCAAGGGGAGGATCTGAGGATTGGTAGGCAACATACTTTACCCAAAAGGACCCCGAGTTGTTTCTCTTTGAAATGACAGGGAAATTTGAGAAGTGTTTTTTTTAAGCGCATCGGTGCATGCACCCTGTGGGGTGGCTAGTAACTATGTAGAATAAACAAGATGCATTCTAGTACTCCTTCCTGCCCCAGGCAACGCCCAGTCATCCTGCTTAATTCGGGGTGTCCCAAAAGTCTTAGTGCCATTTTAAGCTTTAATTACTTAAACTGGCACTAAGACTTTTGGAGCTTCCTGTATATACTTATATACCTAGCTGCAATATGGATTCAGAATCCCAGCAATTGTGTGTGTGGGGGGGAAGAGTCGGTGTTGACCCTAGGAAGCCAAAACTACTTTTAGGATACACTCCTCCTAGGCTAGCTTCAGGTGTTAAGACTTTTCAGTGTTTGTACAATTCATTCTCAGATAATTTTTTTGGAGGGGGAAGGGGGAGTCCTTTCAGTGCTCCCCCTTTTTTATTCAATTCACCAAACATTTAAGCGTCCGTCAAGAATTTGCTTCTTACTCTTATAAGCAATTCAGGGTAAGGGGTGTGGAGTCACTGAACCACTTTAGCCTTAGGAGTGATAGGATCACATTCGTTTATTAGGAAGATTGTTTTGGACCTGTTGCGATTAAATTGGAGAGGGGAGAAATTGGAGGGAGAGCAGTTTAAAGGCAGCCACAATAGTTAGGGGCAAGAGGGATTGAGGACTTGAATTACAAACATGTCCATCGGAGTATCATTGGCCTGGAGCTGGAAGGAGCCTTAGGGATCATTGAGGCCGAATTTATTTTTTAATTTATGGAATAAAACAAGCATTTCCATAACATAGAACAATAAAAAGGATGATTGCAGTGCCTTTTTGATGGTCACACATGCCTTAATAAAAAGAGCCAGGATTCAAACCAAGGCCCTGTGCTGTCTAAGTCTTTCCATTTCCTTAATTTCTCTAGCTCAGGAGTTCTTAACCTAGTTTCTGGGTACTTTAAAAATGTTTTTTTGTAATCTTTCCCAGTATAATTGTTTTTCTTTGGAATCCTACATAGTTTATGTATTGAAAAATACTATTCTGAGATGGGGCCTATTGGAATGCTTCTCTTTTACCTTTATAGACCTCACTAGGTTGCCAAAGGGGTCCGTGACACAAAAAAGGTTAACAGCCTCTGCTCTAAACTAGCTAGATGTTAATTGGTGACAGAAAGAAGGAGGCAGACATGAAGCAGTTAGTGGAGTTAGAATCTACAGGGTCTCAGGATCATAGATGTAAAGCTGAGAGGAAACTGAAAGTTCAGCCCCCTCAGTTCACAGTTAAGGAAACTGAGGCTTAAGTAGGTGAAAGGACTTGCCCAGAGTTATTACGATTCCAGAACCTGTGCTCTTTCCACTGTAACATATTGATGGGAGTGAAGAAGATACAATATAGTCAGTGACTTCAAAGTATTGAACTTTGAGAACTGAGAGAGAACAGTGTCGCCGTCAATAGAAGTTGGGAAGAAACGTAGGTTTATGGGGAAGATGTTCACTTTGGGGCATTGTGAGTTTGAGGTGCTGTAGGAGTCTGGTGAAGATGGTTAGGCAGTGGGAAATGAGAGACTTGTTCAAGAGGAGTGCCTTGAGTAGACGTGATCATGGAAGTCATGGAAATGAGTAAGATCGAGGAAGTACAAATGAAATAAAGAACATGCCCAAGTATAGAACTTTGAGGAACATCTACACTTTTATATAGGAGGAGAAAGAAGCAGTTGAGGTGGAAGAGGGAGGTCAGAGGTCAAACCTGACCTTTGCAGGTTACATCCCTCTGGTGATTCCTGGCAGGCATGATTACAGCCACAAACTTAAATGCAGCTTCAAAATACATATTTCCCGGAAGCTGGCAAAAAACAAAACAAAACAAAACAAAAAACATCCAAACCCTGAATTAAATGCTTAAAGGGCTCGGGAGGATGAAAAATTCTCTGCCTCCTACTTGATGGGGAGGAGGAGGGAATTGAGTTAATTTGCTTAATCAGTAAGCCCCAGGCAAGAGCTTTTCCAATGGTTTGGCATTTTGGATTAAACTAAATTTAGGAAAATCATCCATTGTATGTCTCCCTAGGAGATTCCGAGTGTGGAAGCTAACTGACTGCATCCTCTTTTCTGGTTAAAGTTCCACATACCCGTATATTATCATCATACCTGGTGTGGGGTGGTAGAACAATAGTGGACATGGATTTATGTGAGGCTAGATCCAGGGTTAGAAGGGATTTTACTCCCTCATTTTAGATGTGGAAAAACATGATCAGAAAGTGACTTTTTTTGGGGGGGGCAATTCGGGTTAAGTGACTTGCCTAGGGTCACGCAGCTAGTAAAAGTGTCAAGTGTTTGGTCTGAGGTTGGATTTGAATTCTGGTCCTCCTGACTTCAGGACCGGTGCTCTATTCACTTCACCACCTAGCTACCCCTGCAAGCGTGTATCTTAAGGCAGGACTCCAGGTCCTGCACTCTTACTTACTATGGGACTGATACCTTTCTACAAAGAATGGATTCCTGGTTCTGTGATTTACTAAGTTGGGTAAATTACTTTATCTCTCCAGGCTACAATTTCCTCATATGCAAAAGCTGTGGTGGGTGCCTCCTTACCTGGAGGGTTATAACTCTGTTCACCTATTTG